AAAAAAAAAAAAAAAAAAAGAAAAACAAAAACAAAAACACTTTTTTCTAAAAATGTTCTTTATTACCTGGTCTCAAAGGTGTGTCATTAGCTTGCTGAAGATTAGCCTTTTTCACAGAAGTTTTACTCTGAAAAATCTCTCCTGTCCCATTCCCAGGATACTTGTTTTCCAAATTGGCCTTCTCATCTGCAAAAAAGCAAAGTCATCATCATCCAAACAATGAATAAAAGCAAAACAAATTTGCACCAGGTACTTAAAACAGGGAATAAAGCCCCTTCCAGTATCTTTCCAATTTGTTTAGGAAGAACAAGCAAAGTTCTAGCAATCAAAAGGAAGAGGAGGACTGGAAGAGTTAGGAGTACCACTAGGCAAGTGGGCTACCACTGAGTTCAATCTCCAGAAGAAGGGAAAAAGAAAAAGGAAATGAATATACATTATATCAGAAACTCTGAAAACTGTCACTAAACAAGTGGTAACACTGAAAAAYGTACAATGAACAAAAGCAAAAGTTCGGAATCTGCAAGTGTAAATAGCTCCTTATCTTTTGCTTGATACACGATCAGGGCCATACAAACATGACCTGGCCTTGTCTACTATTTAAATACATTATGTTCCTCTTAAAGTAAACTGTAGCCACCAGGAACTGTAGGACTTACAAGGGATATTGTATAGTCAGACCTGCTTCTACAACTGACAAGATGAGACATGCATGTCCAATGCATGCAAGTGAAGCAGAGCTAGCTTCTCTCTTAAYTGAGATAATTTTATCTTAGGTTCTGCTGTGCAAAATAGTGAAAAGTCTATTCTACCAACACCACACTGATAAAGCTGCAGGAATGCAGTGATCCCCAGCAATAACATCTCTGTGCCTGTATGCTCTGATTGCAAGTGTATAAAGACATGATTATCTGAAAGAAAAGTGGAAAGTAATATATTAAAATAAGAAAGTTCTGAAAGATTGTGGGATTAAGTTTTTTTCTGCCAAGTTGTATGTAATAGTATTGTTATGCTAGTATTTCTTTTTCTATCATTCTTTTGTTTGTTTGTTTGTTTAAAGACAATCTTGGAAAAAGAAATCCTCAGGGGCTGGGGATATAGCTCAGTTGGTAGACTACTTGCCTAGTAAACACAAGGCCCTGGGTTCAATCCCTAGCCCACCAAACAAAGAAAAAAAAAAGAAAAAAGAAATCCTCAGACAGCCCAGGCATTTCCTCCAGGTTCCAGAGAAGCAAGGACACGGGGAAGACCCCTCTAGGATAGCTAGCCCTCTTATATACCCCTTCCTCCCAAATCATTTCCAACAGACCACTCCTCTCAGGATTCCCAATGGATACCACTAAAATCCTTTCCCAAGAGAATGGCAGATGCCATCACATTGGGACACTATACTTAAGTGCCAAGTATGGCTACAAAGGATCCATTTTTGTCCCTACCACATATTGATTTCTCCTTCAAGGAGGATGACGACATGAGAAAGAATAAAATGAAGGGGCCTCATCAACCACTGATCTCACATTATTATTCCAAAGTTAAGTAAAAACATAACCATGTGTGAGGCACTGGATTTAAAAAACTAAAAAAATAAAAGCATGTGTCCATCTATGACTATTAAAAAAAATAAACATATTGTGGCCTGGCTTCAGACTATATGCCACATCACAGAACCAAATCAGGCAATTCTGTTATTGAGGACTGGGTCTTTAGGAGCAAAATCTTTCCACTTAAAAATGAATTGGGGGGCTGGGGATGTGGCTCAAGCGGTAGCGTGCTCCCTTGGCATGCGTGCAGCCAGGGTTCGATCCTCAGCAACACATACAAACAAAGATGTTGTGTCCGCTGGAAAATTTAAAAATATTAAAAAAAAAATTCTTAAAAAAAAATGAGTTGG